AATCAAAGAGAAGAGTCAGATATAACGGGCCACTAACTGTATATGATGCAAAACGCCATATTGCAGATCGTACTGAGATGGAAAGATTGCAGGGCCTTAGGCAGATTGGGAAAACGGGGACTTTGGGACACAATAAACCACCACAACAGGCAGATACAGGGGACCTGCCTAGTACAGAAGCTAGCCAGGTGGATAAGGAAGGCCCTAAACTACCTTATTGGATAGATACTCAAGGCGATGTTGTATAGGAGCTTGAATAGCTTCAAATTTTGCGTTGAAGTGGGAATTTGCGTTGAGGTGAGGCAGACCAACACGCCGAATGGCGGGTGGGTCTGCTGATGTAAGAGACGGCTATCCAATAGGACAAACAGTGCAAACGGCGCAAATTACTGATGGTGTTGATGGTGTTTCATGTGAGAGGAGTTTGGTATGTTTGTTCTAAGGGGCTGAGGGGTTTTTGATAGATGATTTGTTGGCTTTTGTTGGGGCTTATCGTGGTGATGTGATAGATCTTTGTATTGCTGTGTGTGTTCTTGTCGTGTTGTCCACGAGTGCATGATTTGGCTTGACTTTTGTATTTGTTGAACTCATTGATTTATTCATTTACCTCCTTATCTCGCTGTCGTTACTTCTTAAAGGTATACTTACAGAGGTTAATCATCATGTCTACTATGCGAGCAGTAGTCGCGCATACGGCTGGACCTTCCGATGTCCTTAAAGTCATACAATATCCCATCCCCCAACCCAGTCCTGGGCAAGTCCGGATCAAAGTCAAGGCATTCGGACTCAATCGCTCCGAGATGTACACTCGACAAGGTCACTCTGGTTCTGCGGTTCAGTTTCCTCGCATTTTCGGCATCGAAGCCGTGGGTATAGTCGACGCCGCACCGGGGCTAGAAGATAAATTTCCGCTCGGAGCCACCGTGGCCACAGCAATGGGCGGGATGGGCCGAGCCTTCGATGGGGGATATGCGGAGTACACATGTGTACCGGCAAAGCAGGTACAGATACTGAAGACGAAGCTGCCTTGGGACGTGCTGGGGGCGCTGCCGGAGATGCTGCAGACGGCTTGGGGTTCATTGATCAGGTCACTCACCTTGAGACCCAAAGATAGATTGCTGATTCGCGGTGGAACATCCTCGGTGGGCCTGGCGGCAGCGGCCATTGCTAAGAAACACGGGGCGTTTGTGGCGTCAACGACTAGGAAAAAGGAAAGAGAAACATTATTACGGGATTATGGAGTGGACGAAGTGTGGATTGATAACGGGGCCATTTCTCAACAGATTGCCGAAACATCGGGCCAATATTTCGACAAGGTGCTGGAGCTTGTGGGAACGGCGACTTTGGCTGATTCTCTGCGTTGCGTGAAGAAGGGAGGCATTGTTTCTATGACAGGAATTTTGGGAAACGAGTGGCACTTGGAGAAGATCAACCCAATGGAATTGATTCCCAGTGAATCGAAATTGACGGCATATTCTGGAGGAGATGAGGAATTTATGAGAACACCTCTGAAAGAGCTAGTCAAAATGGTTGAGGAGGGGAAGCTCCAGATCCAGGTGGGACGCGTATTTAAAATGGAGGACATTGCAGAGGCTCATCGGTGTATGGAAAAAAGTGAGATTGAAGGGAAGATTGTAGTGATTCCATAGCCCCATTGCTACCTTCGGATTTAGATAGTGTAGCTTATCCATATATTTAATGGCTTTTAGACGTGATCTGGAAATGGACGAAGCAATTGGTCCAAAACCGACCTGAGCCAGAGGCGGTTGAAGAAGCACCATCCGACCTGAACAGGGCTGACCATGTCAAGGCATCTAATGGCGTTCAGGCCGCGACTCTATTCGTCGCAGATCGATAGCCACTGTGGCACAACATCACGTCGTGTATCCCGGCATTCCGACATTTTTTGAAATCGGGCGGGTTGTAAAGTTATGATATGATGGTAGCATCGCAGATGCTAAGCAATTATACACATTGTGCGATATTTTTCTGAGATTGTTGAGGGGGTGAGGTCTGGAGCAGTCTCCGACGTGCACGGTGGTTCAGTGGGGGCCGAGTACTAACTAAAATATAGTAAGGTCAGTTGGATGTATGGGTACCGGCGTACCTAGATGTCGAACCCGAGACTTAGGGGCGTGAGAGGAATTAATTAATCCCACCGTGACGGTGTCCAGAAAATTGCCCGTTGCCACATCTTGGCTTAACCGCTGCAGATAAAACAATTCCCACCAGGGAATACCGGGTTGCAAAGAAAGAGAAAAGATCCATGGATCCAAGTTGGACGGTATATTGGCCATTGCACATGACCCTCGACCAATGAGAGCGGGGCCACCTCACATGCGGCAGCCGGTGAGCCATGACGTAATGCTTCACCTGGGGTTCCCCGGATTCGGAATGAAGAAGTGGGGGATTCTTGGGAGGAAGAAATAATTAAAGATAAGGAACAGGTTCCTTTTCTTGATGGACTAATATGTTGTAGTAAATCTGATCGTCTGGTAGATATGCTAGCCTGAACCCATGGTTGCGAGCTGGTCTTTCTTTTGTTATGTATATCATTACTATCTTTCTGATTGCAAACGGAGGTGGACACTGACAGACTCGAGTCAGTACGACATGTACTGTAAAAATAGGAGGGGAAAATAAAACATACTACTTACTACTGAGGTACAAACAAAACCAGGTCAAGTCCTGCAAGAGATTGAATGACGAGCATCATCATCTGGTCGGATGATCTTGTAATGGTCTTGGGGTTGACAGGGGTTACGATTCGCTAACCAGTTTCTCGCCCCGTTAGTCCATAGCAAATAATGAGCACGAGTCCGTGCCACCGCAGTAGCTTCTGTTTAGAGGTAAATTGAGGAGATCCATGGTCCGTACTGCTCTCTTTCTTTCTTTCCTTCCATTTCTCCCTGGTGTTCATGAATCTGTTCTACTGAAAAGGACCTAGAAGAAAAGATTTTTTTTTTTCCTTCCCCTTCTTATCTTCTCAAAACCCCTTTCCAAGGGAACAGGTTCCACTGGATCCGTTCCTAGCTTTTTTGTGTCTGGTACTACCTTGTTTTGTACCTTATTTATACTAACAGCTTAGGTACCTCACTAGCCTGGGCCCTGCCAACCTCCCGCTCAGTTCGAGCTTAGGCTTCACCCCCGCCACCCCCCATTCAGCTTTCTATCCCCCGCACGTACCTCCTCTGTCACCGGAGGGACGATAAAGACCTGTGCGAGGAAGCTAGCTGGGTGAGCTTTAGCTTGGGCAGCATCGGCTCTCTAATCCTTCCATCTTTCTTCATCTTGTTTCCTTCGTTGAACCTCAACCGTTCTTCATCTTTACTCTCACCTGTTGTCTCTCGTTCTCTCTCAATTGCCTATATCTTTACCTCACCCGGATAGCGCTCGCAGGGAATCACAATGGCCAGTGAGGAGACTGGCGCTGAACCCCCCAAGCGGGATGTTCGCAACCATATACTTTTCGAAGTTGCGACAGAGGTGGCTAATAGAGTGGGTGGAATTTACTCCGTCCTCAAGTCTAAAGCTCCCGTGACGACCGCCGAATATGGCGAGCGATACACTCTGATCGGACCCTTGAACCGTGCTTCGGCAGCGGTGGAGGTGGAAGAATTGACTCCATCCAATCCCCGCATGGTCGAGACGATCAAGTCGATGAAAGACCGTGGTATCGACGTGATCTACGGTCGCTGGCTGATTGAAGGCGCTCCCCGGGTGCTTTTGATCGACACCGGAACGGGATATAAGTTCCTGGACGAGTGGAAAGGGGACCTGTGGAACACAGCGGGGATCCCATCGCCGGCGGCAGATACCGAAACCAATGAAGCGATTGTCTTTGGATACCTGGTAGCATGGTTCCTGGGTGAAGTACGTTTGATAGATTGTACGATCGTTAGATGCGGAGTCCGCTAATGACGGTAACTAGTTCATTGCCCATGAAAGACGGGTTGCGGTCGTCGCCCATTTCCACGAGTGGCTTGCTGGGGTAGCCCTCCCGCTGACCAAGAGGCGACATATGGATCTCACCACGATTTTTACCACCCATGCGACCTTACTCGGTCGCTACCTCTGTGCGGGATCAGTGGACTTTTACAACCACCTACAGCACTTCGATGTGGATGCAGAGGCTGGCAAGCGTGGCATCTATCACCGGTACTGCATTGAGCGAGCCGCAGCGCACACGGCGGATGTTTTCACTACCGTCTCCCATATCACTGCATTCGAAAGTGAGCATCTCCTCAAAAGAAAGCCAGATGGAGTTCTGCCGAATGGGCTCAATGTCAAGAAGTTCTCCGCAGTGCATGAGTTCCAGAATCTACACTCGCAGTCCAAGGAGAAGATTAATGACTTCGTTCGAGGTCATTTCTATGGTCATAACGATTTTGATCTGGACAATACACTCTACCTTTTCACGGCGGGACGCTATGAATTCCGGAACAAGGGCGTTGATATGTTCATCGAAAGCTTGGCTCGCCTGAACCATCGTCTTAAAGCCAGCGGCTCCAAAACCACTGTAGTTGCATTCATCATCATGCCAGCCCAGACCACATCTCTCACGGTAGAAGCCCTCAAGGGACAGGCTGTCGTCAAGTCCCTACGTGACACAATCGAGATGATCGAAAAGGGCATTGGAAAGAGAATGTACGAGCGTTGCCTTGCGTGGAGGGAAGGCGACAACATGCCGGACGAGAAGGACCTAATGGCCAGTCAAGATCGCGTGCTGTTGCGACGCAGGTTGTTTGCCATGAAGAGGCACTCCTTACCCCCGATCGTCACCCACAACATGGCCAATGACCACGAAGACCCAATTTTGAACCAGATACGCCGTGTTCAGCTGTTCAACGATCCAACCGATCGCGTTAAGGTAGTCTTTCACCCAGAGTTTCTCAACTCCTCGAACCCCGTGCTGCCGCTCGATTACGATGACTTTGTCCGCGGTACGCATCTTGGAGTCTTCCCGTCGTACTACGAGCCATGGGGTTACACACCCGCGGAATGCACTGTGATGGGTGTCCCTAGTATCACCACCAACCTGTCCGGTTTCGGTTGCTATATGGAGGAGTTAATCGAGAACTCATCCGACTACGGTATTTATATAGTAGATCGCCGATTGAAGGGTGTTGACGATTCCGTCAATCAGCTTACTGATTTCATGTTCAACTTTGCTTTGAAGAGTCGTCGCCAACGGATCAACCAACGTAACCGTACTGAGCGGTTAAGTGATCTATTGGACTGGAAACGTATGGGATTAGAGTATGTCAAAGCGCGGCAGCTGGCTCTCCGGAGAGGTACGTTTTCTCCATAACCTCCATGTCCACCATGTAGATTTCATATTGTTCGCTAACGCATGGATCATGATCTACAGCCTACCCGTCTTCATTTGGCAGCGGCGAAGACTTCTATGATATTATTGGAGGAACAGAACAGAAGATATCGCGGCCGTTGTCCGTCCCTGGGTCACCAAAGGATCGCTCGGGGATGATGACCCCTGGCGATTTTGCGTCCCTGCAAGAAGTCAAAGAAGGCCTGAGTACGGAGGACTATATCGCATGGCGGCTGCCGTAAGTTATTCTTTTGACTACATTATAGACAGAATTGGGCAAACACGTTGCTAATTGGCGATCCAGTGGTACAACTGATGATGATGAACCAGACGACCAATACTTCCCACTGACTCTACGAACGAAAAAGACATCCGATCGACCCGCGTCGCCGCTCGACCGGATATCAGTCAATGGTGGGAATTGATTGACGGCTACATATCTTACCAGAGGTTTACTGCCCAGCGTTCCGCTCGGAATATGATCTCTACTCCCCAGCGTGTTGCTGTGCGCTGGTTCGAATCCCTTCTGTTGTGTGTTCCTGTGCCATAGCTTTCTACATTTGTCATTTTTACTTACTCCAATTACATGTTTATTGATATTCTTTGGAGAAACACAGTGACCCTTTCCGGGCCAAGGACTGTTAAGGCTCCCTGGATAAAGCTTCACGTCTTCATCATCCGTTGTTTGTACTGTTGCATTGATGTCGTTTTTGCCTTGTGTGAGTTTGCCAGCATCGGGATTGTCTTTTAAGAGCGTGAATAAATTCATTGCATGATGTGCGAGACGCCATACATTCTTCTTACGCAATTGCCTGACATCATATCTAAGGGTTGTTGAGACGCTAGTGAGGGGTCGATCGTAGTCCCACTACAACACGAGGATTGACCGGACCACCGTGCTCCAGAGGGTAGACACTGATAAATATACTTTAGCAACAACACATAGAAGGGAAGCGTACAGTACTTGACCATGACAATTCATTCCGAATCACTATCAACTGTCTCAATCCTTGTTCTCAAACTGTCCGCAGACGGTGCGGGATCTGTTCGGAAGTCATCGTAGTGGGGGTATAGGAAGAGAGGGTTTACAATCCCTGTTAAGAAGACCACGACAAGGGATCGCCGAGTAATATCCAATGGGACTGAGTGACAGTTATCGTCTTTCTGGAGGGTCCCGGTGAGTACTGAAGCAGGGAAATAAGACGAGTAGGGCTTAAGTACAGTTACTAGTAGAGATTCAGTAGGTGGGGTTGGATGCCATGTGACTGAAAGCCTATTATTTATTGTATTCCTTGACCCCTCCTCAACCACTCTTCCTTTCCCTTTTTCACCACAATCACCCATCTCAATTCCACCAATTCCTCATTTACTATCACTGCAACTCGTTCGGTACGGCTCACCATGGGGGCCGCGCAGCCAGAATGACCTTCTGGGTCGTTTCGCTATGGGTTAATTTAACCTACACGGGTCAAGGTATCGTACATAGTATAACAGTCATAGCTCGCGCATGACAGGTGTTCGTCTTGGACCTGCCCTGGTTACCTGGCTATCCTTCTACTTCATGCTGTCCCTGCGTGTCTGCCTCTCTTGAAAGGGTGGATCCCTCGAGGGAGACGCGAGACGAAGGGCGAAAGCTGAGTGAATGTGTACCAGGTGTACGAGGCAGAGTTCGGTCGTTCTGAGATTATACTGTCATAACTTGATCTAGATAATACTAGCGAAAGGACATGCGTGGCATTGATTGTTCCCCTTTATTCTCTTGTTACAGAAGAGGGACTTCGGTCCCCCATTACTAACATGTTTCAGAGCTCTTGATCTAAATTTGTGCCAAGATGTCTACTGACAAGATTACCTTCCTCACCAACTGGTATGACATGCCGCTGGTGCTATTTCTATCTGTGGTCTTGCTGTTTTTCCTGCTACGTTCGTGAACTGTTACTAAGTGGTTGTGTGTTATAAAGGCACGCGACACCGTACCACGCCCCCCTGTACCTCGCTCAGAGCAAGGGTTACTTCAAGGAAGAAGGGCTGAAGGTTGCTCTGCTGGAGCCCAATGACCCCTCCGATGTCACTGAGATCATTGGTAGCGGCAAGGTCGACATGGGCTTCAAGGCCATGATCCATACGCTGGCCGTATGTATCATCTCTCCTAAGAGTCGTTTGAACGGACGTCTAACCCTCGAACCAGGCCAAGGCTCGTAACTTCCCTGTCACCTCGATTGGCTCTCTTCTTGATGAGCCTTTCACAGGTGTGGTATACCTCAAGGATAGCGGAATCACCGAGGACTTCCGCTCTCTGAAGGGCAAGAAAATTGGCTACGTTGGAGAGTTCGGAAAGGTATGTACCACTGGCTGTATCATTGGACGAGCTGTGATTAATGTATTCCAGATTCAAATCGACGAGCTCACCAAGTACTACGGCATGACTGCGGACGACTACACTGCCGTCCGTTGCGGCATGAACGTCACCAAGGCCATCATCCGTGGTGACATTCATGCCGGTATTGGTTTGGAGAATGTGCAGATGGTTGAACTGGCCGAGTGGCTGGCATCCCAGAACCGTCCGCGTGACGACGTTCAGATGCTCCGCATCGACCAGCTCGCCGAGCTCGGCTGCTGCTGCTTCTGCTCCATCCTCTACATCGCCAACGATGCCTTCCTGGCCGCCAACCCCGAGAAGGTTCAGAAGTTCATGCGTGCTGTCAAGCGTGCAACCGATTATGTCCTCGCAGAGCCTGCAGCGGCCTTCGAAGAATACGTTGACATGAAGCCCATTATGGGAACTCCTGTCAACCGTAAGATCTTCGAGCGGTCTTTCGCCTACTTCAGCCGTGACCTGAAGAACGTTAGTCGTGACTGGGCTAAGGTCACCAACTACGGAAAGCGTCTGGGTATCCTTGACGCCGACTTCCAGCCTAACTACACCAACCAGTACCTTTCCTGGACGTTGGATGCGGATTCGACCGACCCTCTGGGTGACCAGAAGCGTATGGCGGAACTGCAGAAGCAGGTTGCTTGCGATGGTGGCTTCAAGCGTCTGCAGGTGGCCTCTAGCGCATAAGCAGCTGTGACAACGTCTTTGAGGTCTGATTGGTAGGCTTATGCGTTGTTAGTCGTACGATCCTATGCAGAATAAATGGCTTATCAAGTCTGGAAGTGCTCTCTCTTGAGTGTTACCTTAAATGACCGTAGCGTGAGTGTAGGGCATACGTAAGCTGCCTACGTAGACCCGCGTACCCATCAAAGATACAAACGAACTAGCCATGCCCCAACCTGGCTGTCAGTGCGTAGTGACGCGCTACGTGATAAGATAACCTTTAGAGTAAAAATCTTAATATATCCTGATTTATTTTTAAGAGGCGTCATCGCCATGGAAGATTCCGGCAGGCCCACCTATGCAGTGTCCAGATACACCAACACATAGCTAGATAGACTGGTTTCTTAATACGCCTGGCACGAAGATTCACAGATCCTATCAAGGTTATATCGCCGGCGTGACCGCGTATATCTTTGAGTCGGAAAGGTCGATGCAGGGGGGGTGGTTTGATTTATATACAGTGGGTTAGGTAGAACTCTATGTAAGTAAGTACTGAGGATAAGGATCAACAAAGAAAACGTTTGGTTATATCCACCAGCCTAAACGTCACTTCCCCTTCCACCAATCGTCATCGTCTTCTCCAGGCAGACCTCCAGACCTCCCACGCCCCAACAGGGCAAACTCAACATCATCCATCTCCCCGTCACTCAAGTCTTCATCGCCGTTAAACCGATCCAGCGGCTGCCAGCTGCCCCGTTCTCTGTCCTCGGGACTCTGCGCACCCGCTCTTGACTTGATTCTCCTGTATATAAACCACCCCGTAAAAGCAAGTACGCACGCCGATGCAAACCCTCCAAAAAAGAAAAGCAGTGAGCGGACAGGTGAATCCCCGTCATCCTCATCATGCCGTCCCACAACTGCCTCATCAGATTCTGGATCCCAGCGGACTAGTTTCGTGGTTCCTAGGATATGACCCGTAGAGTTTAGGCCATGAGCACGGATATACGGTGATTCCGTGTCCGCGGGAATGGGGATGGTGGTTTCGAAGCCGGATTTGGGCACCGCGGCTAAGAATGTGTATGTCTTTGGGTTGGGTGAGTCCGCGCCTTCGAGAGCCCAGGTTACGACTTCGGTGGCGCCGTTCCAGCTCGCGGCGGCTGTGTAGTTGTAAACAGAGATGTCGGGGGATGTGGTTGGGTGGCCGACCCAGGGGTATTTAAGGACACGGTAGGACATGATGTTGCCGTCGCCGGAGGCAGCGCCGAAGTGCGTGTTGCAGAGGACGGTGCCGTCGGAGGCATACTCAGTCCATGTTGGGATGTGGCCATAGCCTACGAGAACCTTTGGGTTTTCGTTATTAGATGTGAAGAGCTGGACGGAGCCCTGTGATTGGCTGCTGATGGGGTTTGGGTTCCAGTATTCGTGGCGGACTTTGACGGTCATATTTTCCTGATCGATGTCTAGGTAGAGGCCGCGGCTGGGTAGTTCGGGGGGGCCTGCGCCGCGGGAGGCATTGTCGAAGACGGTAATGGCCGTGCCATTGTCGCGGAAGCGGGCATGATGTTGCCAGGCGAAGTTTGTGGCTGCGCCGTCCGAAAGGTCTGTGAAGTCGTTGTTTTTGCCGCCGAGGCGCCAGATGATGTCGCCTGTGCGGCCGTCGATGTAGGTGAGGCAGCTGGCGTAGCGGGATGAGATCAGGTAGTTGCCCTTGGCGTCTTTGTCTACGCTGTTGATGTGAAAGAAGTCCCATGGGTGGGCTTCAGAGTCGCCGTTACCCTCGCGGTCTCGGTACATGTCGGTTAAGTTGAAGTGCTCGGATGCTCGCCATTGGAAGAGAGCTTTCCCCGTCTCAATGTCAAGCTCTTGGAACGTGCCGTCCCAGAGCCAGCCTTCTTCGAGACCGCCGACTGCTGTTAGATCTGCGGGGATGACGTCGTAAATGGTGATCAGTGCGGTGTCGTCCTGTGTAATGTGGAATTCGTGAAGATCTCCTGGGAGATGATTGGCCGCGCTGATTTTGTATGCTTCTTGGTAGGAGGAGTCTAACTTTTGGTGGGTTTAGAATATTATGACTTGAGATGCATGCGGAGATGGAAGTTTCATTGCGCTTGGCATAGATAGGTAAGGTAGTATATGATGGTGGAAGGGGGAGATATGTCCTACCATATAATATGCTCCCTCTCCATGTCCCCCAACGCCATCATTGCCCATCCAGAACGTTAGATAATCTTGTCCTTTGAATGTATAAACATTCAGATTATACGATTGCCCATAAAGCTTCGTCCATACAAGATGCCCATCCTGATCAAGGATCATCGGCCCTGGGTTAGCTACTTTATTTCCTCGCGGCGCGATGAACGTGTAAAGCCCATCCTTGCACTCATCGCTATACTGCAGATAATTCAATGCCGGGCCGACGATCGGCGACGATCGATACGTCTCGGTAGGCCATTCTCCAAATTTCCCTTCGTCATAAGCAGCAGACTGGATATAAGGACCATAATCCGCTTGTACACGGGCAATCACAAGCGCTAGAAGAATCAACACCCCGTTCAACATGATCATCATCACAGGACGGAGACCGACGAAGAAACCCCCCGTGTATATGTATGGACAAACAACTCTAGCTACCAAAAGTCTGGGGGACGGGCGCCGATTAAATTAAATTAACGGTGTCCATCGCCAATGTATGGAGTAAAAAACAAAACAAAAAAAGATTCGTCAGCTGAATCGGCAGATAGATTTTCATCCATATATGCGCTGAGTAGTCTAGGTTTCCGGTGGAGCTGCAGCCCTAGGAGACAGGCATTTCATCGTCGGCTTTTGCGCCGTGAGATCCACACTTAGCGCCCCGTTTTTGCGTGGTTGACGAACCGCTGGTAATTAGGCTGCCAATCACTGATGCTCTTCATATCTGGTACTCCACTTGTAAAGGGAGAGTTGAACAACATGAATGCGATGTGCAACCCCTTATTGTTTTCGCTGGGTGATTCTCTGTGCACGAGGCCATTCGGTGAAGTGGAGTGAGTGAGTGGGTGTCTTGGCAGGAGAATTCTGAGGTGGAGAACAATTAACTCCCTACTGGGGGTTGTAGGATTTGGTCTCTGGGATAGATTGATGATTGATGCGATTGAAGTAGGCTATACGTCAGTAGTGGTTTTTTTAATTTAGCCGGGTTCGTTCGTCTTTAAGTCCGAGCTGGAGTTATGCTCGTTAGTGGTTGGATCAGATCCTTGGCATGATGGATGCAGTAAAAGTCATGGCATAGGTAGTGGTCGGAATTGAGAAGGAAGAAATTATCTTTGTGGTGTTTTTGGGTGATGCTTTGAATGGGTTGAATGAATGCATTGAAAGAAGTCAGCAGGGCACGTGCTCTCATGTTATGTTTCCACGTTCTTCTCCTGCGCTTTTACAAAACTCTCATCGAAGACACTTGAATATGCTATCCACACCTACAGGGCTGCGAAGACGACCGCCAATGTTGCCTGGGTAGAGAGGTAGGACTAATATGGGTCACTGCATCCTTGGCTGCTCAGTTGAGATGCTCGCATAAATGCTGTACCACGGTCGTCACACTCAAGGAGGCTCCCAAAATCAATATGTACTACGCTTCTTTGGAGTCACAGTCATTAATCTATATTCCTTAAACTAGGGGGCTGGCTAATCTATGGCGTGGCAAAAAGCGTGGTAATTACAAGAAATAGAAGGGGTATCGTTCTTCTAATTCACCTAGAACAAAACCATCAGCCGCGAAAGCGTTTATTTGGAGCGTTTGTAGATCTTGCTGAGGAAGGCATTGAAGACCTCCTTCTTCAGTCCCTCAGACTCATCCACGGCGGCGATCTTCTCCTTCAGCTCGCCGACGATCTTCTCCTCGTACTCCTGGTAGACCTTCTCGAGATCCAGCTCCTTGTAGAGGGCCTTGACCTTGGCCTCAAGAGCGTCATCCTTACGGCCGTAGGCCTCGTCGAGGACCTTGCGCTGCTCGGCATTGCAGCGCTGGAGGGCCTGGTTGACAAGCCAAGAGCACTTGTTGTCCTTGATATCGGTACCGATCTTACCAATGACTTCGGGGTTGCCATAGGCATCGAGGTAGTCATCCTGAACCTGGAAGTATTGGCCTAGAGGGATGAGGATGTCGTGGGCCTGGCGGAGGTTGCTAGGCGTAGCACGCTGGAGGTAGAGAAGGGCCAGGGCAACGGGCAGGTAAAAGCTGTAGTAGGCGGTCTTGTAGGTGACGATGAACATATACTTCTCCATGGAGAAGTTGTTGAGGTCGACCTTGTCCTCGGGGGCGGTGATCAGGTCACAGAGCTGACCCAGCTCAGTCTGCCAAGTAGTCTCATGGAAGAGATCGATGAAGTCGGCGTAGGCGGGGTGCGAGCGGAAGTGCTTCTTAAGAATGATATAAATCGAAGATTCGAGCAAGAAGGCATCGTTAATGGCGATCAGACCAACACCTTCCTGACGGTACCAGCATGGCTGACCACGTCGGGTGATCGAGCTGTCCATAATGTCGTCGCTGACTAGGAAGAAAGCCTGGAGAAGCTCGGTGAGCCATCCCAGAATGCTGAGGTGTTTGAACTGTTCCTCGGTCAGGGGCTTCTCCAGAAGAGCAAGACCGGTGTCGGGACAGGAAAGACCACGGTTCAGCTTTCCACCGGGAACGTTGACATTGAGGGCCTATTGCAAGTAGTCAGAATAGTCAGTACATGTCCTCCGTAGCGAATTGTATACATAAACCGGGGCGCTATACCTTCTCGAACCACTGCTGGGCATTTTCGGGCAAGTTCGACTCCCTCGCATAGGCCAGAATATCTTGGGCCAAGGAGGGGAAGACCTCCTGGAAAGCGGCACGGTCAGTGGCAGGCATTCCGGCGTGAAGTGTATCGGATATGTAAATTAATAAATTAATAATTGAACAAAAGTGAGAGGGGCACACAAGGAAGAGGGAAAAGTCCGGGAGGGAATTGATGTAGCAATCTAATATACCCCAATCGGTAAAAGCCCCTCTGAACTATTGTTTGTCCTGTTTGCCCCCACCGCCCATTCACCAATCAGCCTTCCCCATATTGTGTACTCGGATTCAACATACTTGTTGATGTTGATGCCTTTCTGATTC